ATGTAAAAACAAACAAAAGGCAACAGTGTGCAGCTGAATTGCTGAATCTAATGAATTGCAACCCTCCATGACTCTTGTCTCCCTCAACAGCTATAAAACAGCTCCCATTACAGCCCGTCCTTCCTCCCCTAGGAATAAGCCATCCATAAAAAGTCATTAAGAATAGCAAAACCACACAGAAATAAAACGGATCCTATCAACACACCTAATGGTGTGAACAACCTTGTAAATGTTTACAGGCTTGGACTGTTTTAACTTGGCTAATGGATGCGTAAAACTAAAATGACCCCATCAGCTTTTTGTGAATCTCAGTCTTTCCAGCTTGACCTTCCAGTCTTGCTTCCCCTTACTTCCTGATTTCTTCTTACTGTTCTAAATATGACTCGATCACACACCTGTGAAAGGAAAATTTATATGAGCCAGGTTTCAAAAGCACTGAAACACACACACAAAAAACCTTCTCCCACATACTCTTAGCAATGAGCCTGTGGTTTGTCATTTCAATCATTTCTGAAATCTAAACGATTGTTAGTTGTTTCAGAAAAACAGTTGTGTGGTAAAAAATTTAAAAGCTGAAGTGCACACACAGCTGCAGCATTATGCGTTTACTACAAGACCAATTATTATCAATCATGAAAACAATTGTTCTGCTTAATATCTTTGTGGAAACTCATACTTTTTCAGGATTCTTTGATGAATATAAAGAACAACATTTATTTGAAATAGAAATCTTTTTGTGAAATTATAAATGCCTTTACTGTCACTTTTGAGCACTTTAATGCATCCTTTCTAAATAAAAGTTATGATTTCTTTCAAAATAAAAATAAATGAATGACCCACTTCCCTTACACTTAACAGTAATCTAAAATGACTCAGTGTGTTTCCTGGAAATCTCTGTGGGTCTTTTAATTGACTGATTGGAATGCTAATATACTCACCCCCACAGTTACAATGCAAAGAATGACTTTGGTGACACTAATAAGAGAAAGGCCAATCACAGTCCAGGGAACAGTTAATTCTTCTACAGCAGGACAGGAATCAGCAGGGATCGTGGTGGTGATGGGATAAACTGTGCTCACATCCAAGCATTCTGAAAATTAAGACAACCATTATTTGTTTAATGGGATATTTCATTTTATGAGATCATGCATGCAATTCTAAATGCAATAAGAGGTTTAAACATGCACTTAAAGATACGGTTTTGATGACACCAACATACAGAATTTCAGTATCGAGCAGATTTTACGGGGAATGAACTAGACTGACTGGGCTCTAAATTACCTGAGATATTCAATTCAATAAAAGAATAGTCATTTTGACCTCCAACCTCTGCAGCCAGGTAGCATTTATATTGTCCAGAGTCTGAAGGTTGCACATTATTTAACACCAGGGTTTCTTTATCTTCCAGAGAAACATTGGTCAAGTTATATGTATATTCATGGTTTTTCCTCTTGATGATGGGAATATTCTAGAAAAGAACGACATGGCTTTGTTAGGGGATTTTGTTGTGGTGTGGTGTGGTGTTTTCTGGTTGGACAGACCGACCAGGTCAAATGCCAAATGGTATGCCACTGAGGTGCAGAGGATGTTACTCATCAAAGGAAATGCTTTGTTTGCTGGCTAACCATCATGCACCTTTCTTTTTTACTTTCAAAATCCTTTATACAAAGCAAAACACTTAGAAACTGCACAACCATTGCAAACATGTCAAGCAAATAAGGTCAATCAGTTCAAATATAAAGGTAACTCACATCTGATTTATACCACATGACGTAACGGTAAGTTGTTGTGCGATCAGTAGCTGTACAACGAAGTCTGACGATACCATTACAGTTACCTATAATAAAGTCTATGTCTTCTGTTATCCCACAGTGCAATGCAGCCATTGCAAACAACAGCACTTCTGCAAAGAGAAATACAGAATGGAAAGTAAACATCAATCTGTTAAAGGGGTCATATGATGCGATTTCAAGTTTTCCTTTCTCTTTGGAGTGATACAGGCTGATTGTGCATAGATAAGATCCCTGAAGTTGCAAAGACTAAAGTCTCAAAACCAAAGAGATAT